TGTGACAGTGTTGTGGGAGTTATTTGTTTAGCAGAGTGATGGCATTCGGGGAAAAACTGTCCTTGTGTCTAGTTGTTCTGGTGTGAAGGGCTCTGTAATGTCATTTTGAGGGTAGAAGTTGAAACCATTTATGTCCAGGATGTGAGGGGTCTGTAGATATTTTACAGACCTCTTTTTGACTTGTTTAAAGACAATTTCTTCACAAAGAAATAACCTAAACGCAAATTGGGAAATTTTATTCCTGAATATATCATTCTAGGAGGCTGTAACCCACTCCAGAAAACTTTGGTTTAATCTTCTGCTGTCCACAACTCCGTAAGTTTCCATCCATTTCTGTGCCACTCAGGCTATTGGAAATACAGCAGCATAGCAATACTTTATAAACAAACCAATTAAAAAATAAACCATCACCCAGCCATTAACCACTGCAGTCCACTACAAGATACATAGCATTGAGTAGGAAGCCCAGTTGTAGAATCCTGCTCTCTGCGCTTGGTTGTTTGCTTATAGACATTTCATAACCTGACTAGGGAACATCATCAGTGCCTGAGAGCACTGTTTTGAGTACATGCAGGATCAGCATGGCACTCATCAGGAGATCTTCCCCTAGACTGACACCACTCATGTACAACAGTTCCATTTCTCTTTCCAAGCTTCAAGATAATGTGCAGTCATATTCAAGGTGATTTATTATCTGTCTATAGATTTTGAAACTTTACTCATTAGTTAACAGGTCCCTGCTTTTCAACTATTTTGTAGAAGCTGAGAAGTTTTGGATCAGTAGACCACCCAAAATCACTCAGGGGTGAGCTGCTTACTGGTTCATTCTGGTTTGGACGAATTGCTAGTTAAGTGCTAGCTAATTTTATGGCCGGTTCAGTGAACTGGCAAATCTCACCCCTGGCTGGCTCCACCCATCCAACCCCACCCCTCCCAGGAGTCTCCAAGCAGCCCGTTTTGGTTCCCAGATAAGTACAGGGCCCAAGCAGAGATTCGGGAAGGGTGAAAAATGGGCCTCCCAGAGGCTCTGGAAGGCCAGAAACAGGCCTGTTTCTGGCCTCCAGAGGGCCTCTGGATGCAGTGGTGGGATTCAATTTTTTTTTACTACTGGTTCTGTGGGTGTGGCTTGGTGGGTGTGGCAGGGGAAGGATACTGTAAAATCTCCAGTCAGAGGTGGTATTTGCCGGTTCTCCAAACTACTCAAAATTTCCACTACCAGTTCTCCAGAACTGGTCAGAACCTGCTGAATTGGTACCGCCTCTGCTCCAGAGCCCGGGGAGGCCATTTTAGCCCTCCTGGAGGCTCAAGTAAAGCCTCCGGAGCCCAGGAGGGCAAAAAACATCCCCACCACTGTGGTGCAGCAGGCCGACTAGGCCACGTCCACCATGGCCGTGCCCACCCAGCAACTGGGCAGAGAACCCGTTGCTAAAAATTTTGAACCCCACCCCTGCAATCACTCTATGAAGGAGATGGGTGGTCTTTAAATATGAATAGTGAAAATTAATAAACAAAAGTTTCTCTTTAACTGCTTGTCTTCAGCTGCATGTCAACAAAACCCAGAAATATTTCTGGAAAGCAAATGAGCAAAAAAAAAAAAAAAAAAAAAACCAGGCTAAAGAGATACTGCCAGAAGTCCTTCCTTGAGATGGGGGCTTTCCCTGGGAATTTAATGCATGGCAATAGACTTATGAATCTTATGTATTCTCTGCCTTCAGCTGCCTTCAGCTTGTCTATTTCTGTAGAAAGCCTATTTTTACAAAGAGCTATAAGCCTCTAGTAATCGTTCCTTGCCAAAGAATGGCCATAATAAAAGCAGCCCTGGAGTTTCACACTGCTGGGGAAACAGATCTGTGTAATTCCTACATCCCCATTAAAGGAAGGGAAATTCTTTCACCAGAAATGCAAAATGTTAAAGGAAAAGTAAAGTGAGAAATTGCAGAATTACACAGACTCTTAAAAGGCCGAGTTAGCCTTAAGATAATTTCCCACCCCTGGAAAATATTCTGGTTAAGCGTTAAAAGGTGTGAAAATCCAAAGGAAGGCAGATCCAGTTGATAACACAAGATCAAGAAAACCCACCAACATCTCTTGATTCTTCCAAGCTGATCTCTGGATGGCCACCTTGTTTCACTTGGAATGTGATCACTAGATCACTTGTTAAGCTTTCTTAATGAATGTGATAGCTGAGATAAGATTTCGGGGGAAAGAAATCATCTTACTTCTGTTAAATGGGCTTTTTATGGCTTGTAGTTATAACTGTTTGACCTTGAGATGGAGAATAGAAGAGGACTCTAGAAATCTGGCATAATACAATATAGGTATTTTTTGGAAATGATTCCTTATCTCTCTGACCATGTCCCCTTCTCTAATGCATTCATTTATGTTTACAGAGAATCATATGCAATTTTCATCATTTCAATTTTCATTATTATTTTTTCCAAATAAAGACATCCTACTCTTACAAAACCAACAGTATTCAAAATAAAAGGATACTTGTACTTTTCTATTTTATATAAATGAGATAATTTTCAAGCAATCATCAAACTGCAGATCAGGGGATTTAAATACATACACATAGAGAGAGAATGAAATGAAGGGTAGGTGAAGTAAAGGAAAGAGAGAAAAAAATAAGGTGAGTAAACAGAGAGAAACAAGAGAGCTGTGGAAAGTGTATTTTCAAATATCCCCTGAATCTTAATATTCATGAACCATGGAATTGCATCACAGAATTTTCAGTTGCCATACTTCTATCATGCATCACAGAATTTTCAGTTGCCATACTTCTATCATGTCTTCAAATGGATCCTTAAATCCCTTGAATTCTATAGCTTTTGGTGTCTACAAATCATATTCCCATTCTGCACATATAGGTAGTTCTCAACATATGATTCAACATATGACTCAACCTGCCCATTATGACCATATGTTAAAACAGTTGTAAAATAGAATAACAGAGTTGGAAGGGACCTTGGAGGTCTTCTAGTCCAACCCCCTGCTTAGGCAAGAAACCCTACACCACTTCAGACAAAAGTTTGTCCAATTTCTTCTTAAAAGCTTCCAGTGTTGAAGCATTTACAATTTCTGGAGGCAAGTTGTTCCACTGTTTAAGTGTTCTAACTGTCAGGAAATTTCTCCTTAGTTCTAAGTTGGTTCTCTCCTTTATTAGTTTCCACCCATTGCTTCTTGTCCTGCCCTCAGGTGCTTTGGATAATAGCTTGACTCCCTCTTCTTAGTGGCAGCCCCTGAGATATTGGAACACTGCTATCATGTCACCTCTAGTCCTTTCTTTTCATCAGACTAGACATACCCAGTTCCAGCAACCACTCTTTATATGTTTGTCATGTGGCTGATCTAATTTTATGACGTTTTTATGCAGCAATTGAACGCTAGTGAATGCCCAGTTGTTAAGCAAATTCCTTGATCATTAAGCAAACCAGTGGCTTGCTATGGATGCAATATTGCCAAAACTGAAACTGTAGGTTTTCAGCACTTTCAGCACATCATAAGTGTGGTCATGTTTAGTGTGGGATGCTGCAACATTCATAAATGCAGTCATGCTGCCAATCAAAGTTAGCACCCAAAGTTAGTGACTACAGATGGGCACCATCCATCAGAAATTCAAACCTGGGCTGTAATTTTGGGTTGGTTGTAACTTCAGTGGCTAAGAGATCAGTTGTAAATCAAGGACTACTTCTAATGAATTTGCTCATTTTAGCCTTTCTTTCCAGTTGTCTCCTTTATTTCTTTTTCTTTCTTTTCCAGTTTTCATTTGCCTTATTTCCTGGCTGGCAATACTAGCAGCTTGCATATTTGATCTTCATAACCATCTTGTAAATGTTTTACTCTGAGAAGTTTCTGCTTCTCTTCAATGGATCTGTGTTGTCCTAAGTCAAACTTCATTAACTTTTCTAGTATCCTTAGTATGTACTATGGCTATTTTTCCCCCTTCTGTTCAATCGTGTGGGGTGGACAATTCCTCATTGGTAGCTGAAGACAAGAAGTCCTCTTCAGCTGGTTGTAAAACCAGCTTTTCTGGTCAAGTATGCAACCTAACATGTCATACCAACAAGCCAAAAGACATCCTTCATTTTGAGGAAGCCACAGCACAAGAATACAAAATGGTGGAAAAATTGCATCCCTCAACCTGGAGATGTAGTTTTCAGTAGGTTCCTTTCTCTTTTTTTAATTTATTTTTTTTAATTTTAATTATGAGAATACAACACAATGCATCCAACTTAGCTTTATTATACATATATACATTTTACTTCAACATTTATAATCTCCTGATTTGATACATTAATTACCACCTAATCTGATCATAACTATTAATATTTTGACTTTGTCTTCTGTTACATAACCATTGATAAAATTTATTCCATGTTTTATAATATTTAGATTCTCCTTTGTCTTTTATTTCTAAAGTTAACCTATCTGATTCATGCCATAATTTTTCTTATTATTTCTATTTCTGGAGGTATGATTTCATTTTTTTCAGTATTGTGCATATATTATCCTAGCTGCCGTCAATGCGTGTACTATTAGATACATTATTTCCTTCTTATAATTTTTCTGATATTATTCCTAGGAGAAAAAATTCCGGTTTAAATGGAATACACTCTCCCACCATTTGTTCTATCCATGTTTGAATCAGTCTCCAATATTTTTTTGCAACATTGAAAGTCCACCACATGTGGAAAAAAAATGTGCCTGATACATCTTTGCACTTCCAACAATTTGGAGATATATTTTTTAACATTTTAGAAAGCCTTGCTGCTGGAAGATGCCACCTGTAAAACAGCTTATAAAGATTTTCTTTATAAGCCGTAGCCAATCTTATTTTCTTATTTGTGGTCCAAAGTTTTCGCCATTTAGCCAATTCAATATTATAACCGAAATCTTTTGCCCATTCCACCATTGTTTCAGTATCAGTAGGTTCCTTTCTGATGCACCGAAGGCCACATGGGTTGAAGACTTTCCATTCCACATTACGAAGTTCCTACCTGTCGGTGGGATAATTCCCGGTGAGAGAAGACCAGGAACGGAATGCGGCATGATGTGAGAATTTTCTGGCGAGGTCACACTCTGCGTCCGTTTTGGGGGCCGCCCAGGTCTGGAGCTGCGGAAGAAAAGGAAAAAAAAAAAAGTTTACAATTAAGCTGTTGTCTTACACATCATTTCAAAGTTGTTTCAATTGGTAACATGGACTGTAAATAAATTTGTTTCAAGGACGGTTGCTTTTGCAGTTAGATGTAATAGACTTCCATCACTAATTAGATTACATGCTGAATTCATTTTCTTCATTGAAGATCAGCCGCGCTTGATGCATAATTCATAGCCAGCACCTCGTTACCTGCTCCTTCATATTAATATCTATACACAGTTTGAATTGCCTCGTTTGCATATGCTAAAGTTCTACATGGAGCCTTCAGCACGAAAATTATGCACTAACTTGTAATAATTATTACAGTCAGCCTGCTATTGATTTATGAGACTTTTAAAAACCAAATATGTGTAGTACTTGTAATGAATGATATTTTAAGGTTCTTCAGGAAATTAAAAGGCAATGCCTGCCCAAGGAAATGTTCTGCTTGTTTGATTTAATACTACAGTTAGCTGGGAGGTGGAATGAGAGAGTGATTCAGACCTATAGCACATTTTTCGATGATATGTTTTATTACCTTGCAGTACTACTCCGATATCTAGATGATAAATGACAATACATATCTAATATGTGAAAAGGTCTTGCAATTTCTTTATTTTTTTGTCATGTAAAAGATAAGTCAAGTTATCATTTAACCCTTATTCTATGCAGTGAAAAATCTTGATTTAAATATGGTACATTAGTCAGAAGAGGGTTTATTGTTTATAAACCATTCTTGAGAAATCACAGTGCTAGGACTGTACATCTTTTGGTCACCATGCTATAAAAAAAGATGTTTTTTAATACTCTAAAAAGTGTATAACTCTAGAAACAGTGC